TACATACATACATACATATATATGTATATATATATATATTATTGCATTTAGATATTCTTGTATTTCATTATGTATATATTATTATATTATATTTATATATTATTATTATATATATTATTATATTATATTTATATATATCCATTATTATTACTATTATTATTTTATCGTACGTGCAAAATCAACTCAGTCACAAAACATACCTCTCTGTGTCACATGTGTTTTATAGGTGGCAATCTGAATATATTCTGTTCGCATACTCTCAATCCATATTATCGTTTACCTATTCTTTATCCCCACCGTAAAGCCGACTTCCGCGGAGTACAAAGCGAGAACGTCTTCGTGGGTGTGGGTAGTGATGAGGCGATCGACCTGTTAATGCGAGTCATAGGCACTCCAGGCACAGACAAGCTCATGACCACACCACCCACCTACGGCATGTACAAAGTGTGCGCGAACATAAATGATCTGCAGGTAGTGTCTGCGCCACTCACGCCGACCTTTGAGCTGCGTGTGGACGAGGTAAGCCCCTGTTGTCATGGTAACCACGCGAACGTGCTGAACACGTTCGTGTAAGGAACGTTGCAGTGAGCTGCTATTTGTACTGCTGTATGGTACCTATTCGTATAGGCCTAGCATTGTGATGATATAGACTACGTACACTGAGGTGTGATAGTTGCTTTGTCGTTGCCTGTCATTAATATCATTGTGACATCTTTATTATTAATGTTATCGTATCATCTTCTTTGCCTGTCATCTTTAATATTAATATCATTATATCATCCTTTAATATTGATATTATCGTATCATTGTCTTTGCCTGTCATCTTTTGAAATTAATATCATTGTATCATCCCTTTAAATCAATATTATCGTATCATCGTCTTTGCCTGTCATCTTTTGATATTAATATCATTGTAACATTTATTATTAATATTATCTTATCATCGCCTTTGCCTGTCATCTTTTAATGTTAATATAATTGAATCATCGTCCCATGTATACATGTTACTAAGGAAATTTGATCCGACCAGTGGCTGAGTCGTGACTATCAATCTGTTAGAGACGTACTCGTCACGCACAAGCCTTCTACTTTGCATAATAACAGCGTATAACTGCAGCACCATTATAACAGCACTATTATAACAGCACATAACTGCAGCACCATTATAACAGCACATAACTGCAGCACCATTATAACAGCACATAACTGCAGCACCATTATAACAGCGCATAACTGCAGCACCATTATAACAGCACATAACTCCAGCATCATTATAAAAGCACATAACTCCAGCACCATTTTAACCGAGCATAACTCCAGTGTTGTGTATCTTAAGCTGTATGTTAAGGGGTGTCCACTCACCGTATCCTCTGCTGCTATAGTCAGTCACAGTAGGGTCTATTTGAACACGCCAAGTACCATGCAGACACCTTCGTGACATACACATAGGCTCGCTGCTTTGACGTCATAAGTGGTTTCTATCCATCGCCCGCATTGTAGTACTTTGTGGGCTCGTACTCACTCTATACATAGTACACGTTTCGTACCTCACATCCACTCATTCCACACCCACAGATGCTTGCCGCCGTCACACCCGAGGTCAAGCTGATCTTCGTCTGCTCACCCGGAAACCCCACGGCAGTGTGTTGCAAGCGCGAGAATATCATTAAGCTGCTCAAGGCATACACGACTGGCCTGGTTGTGGTTGACGAGGCGTACATTGACTTCGCCAAGGATCAAAAGTCGTGCTGCGACTTACTGGCTGATTACCCTAATTTGGTCGTCTTGCAGGTGGGGGTTTTATTTATATTAAGTTTATGTTGTATAGTATGTGCCATTTTGTATGTGTGCACGGAGTATGTTCTATTTATATCGGGTTATGTGGCAAGTTTGGGGGTCAGGGCTTTAAAGTTTTAGGACAACATCCAAACGAAGCCTGGCGGAAGTGTATATACGTATATACAGATGTATATAATATTTACTTATATACAGATGTATATGATATTTATGTATATACAGATGTATATGATATTTACGTATATACAGATGTATATAATATTCATGTACAACAACATCATACACATATTGCTAGTGGAGTTGTAAATCCTGCTTTGAACCCGTGTCATTGTACACCTATCACCATTTGAGAAAGCGTTCGTATCCTTTCACAGCATGAGGTGCATTCATACTTTTCCTTAATACGAGCCGACTGCGTTCATTTATTTCTGTTTATTTATCAATATTTGTTTGTTTATATCTATTTATATATATATTTTCATATATATCTATTTATTTATTTATTCATATTTGACCGTATGCAGACGCTGTCAAAGTCCTTTGGCCTGGCGGGAATCAGGTTAGGCATGCTCTTCGGCAGTGAGGAGATTGTCAGTACACTCAACAAGGTCAAAGCACCGTACAACGTCAACAAACTGACCTCTAAGGTTGCAATTGGTAAGCCCCTGTTCTATGGTTCTAGGGTTTAGGGTTAAATCCTGTCCTGGTTTCGAAAGGTGGACATGGGTGTGGGGTGCATTGAGTGTTCGTGCAACCCGGTTCTGCATTGTTTTAGGGTTTTGCAGTTCTAGTGCTCAAGTCTTGGTTCAAATTGCTGCTGTGCATATACGATGGATTGCACCAGCGCATGTGTGTATATTACTATTCCACTGTCCCAATGATCTCTGAAAGGGCTGTAAGAAGTGAGTATGTGTGTATATTGCTATTCCACTATCCCAATGGTCTCTGAATGGGCTGTAAGAAGTGAGTATGTGTGTGTATTCCCATTCAACTGTCCCAATGATCTCTGAATGGGCTGTATAATAGAGTGTGCGTGTATATCTCTGAAAGGGTTTAGGGTTGTAAGAAGTGAGTATGTGTGTGTATTGACCCCATACCACCCTACCGTGCAGAGGGAATGAAGAACATTGACCAGATGAAGGCCCATGTGCGTGCTACTTTGGAGCAGCGTGACGTAGTGACCGCCGCACTGCAGCAGATGGAGACGGTCAGGAAAATTCATCCCACAGACGCAAACTTCTTGTTAGTGCAGATCGATCACAGTTTAGAAGGTGGGTTTTTAAGGTTTAGGGTTTTCGGTGGTGCGTGTTGTGCTCTGCTTGTGCTTGCGTTGTGCCAGGTGCGAACCAACACACACATATCTACGTTGCTGTTATAACCGCTCGGCCAGATGTTCACCTCGACGGTGTGGGTTCAGTTGGGGCCTCGGCTGAGCCTCGTGCTAGTATACATACCCAATAGCAATTCCCATTATGTCTACGATGATAGCACGGTAGTTTACTAACATATATCATTGCCTGCTCTATCTATTGCGATGAGTGTAAGATGTATGTATGTCTATGGTAATAGCACACTAGTATACCAACCTATACCCCTTCCCGCTCTATCTAATTGGATGGATGTAGTGTACAAGCGCATGGCTGACAGGGGGGTGGTCATTCGGTACCGTGGAGACCAGACACACTGCGACGACTGTGTGCGCATCACCATTGGCACGGCAGACGAGAACGAGAAGATGTTGTCACTGCTGCGAGAGATTGCGGCTGAGTTGAGTTGAGTGACTGAGATAACGGGTGGAGATGCAAGATACACAATACAGCGGTGGACGGGGGGTGTTTACTTAAAATGATTTAGGGTTTAGTGTTGAAGAGTATGGTAGATGGGGGCCCTGATGACTCGTCACGCTACTGTATAGGGTGCCTGTGAGGTTATTGATGGAGATGGGTTACAACGGACAAGTGAGTTACGTATAGGAAACTCTAGCCAACTTAAGCTCGATAAGTTTAATAAACCAAACGTAATCAGGGGACATATCATTTGTTCTGTTAATTTTGTACTGCTAAGCCGGTCCCTCTGCTCGTAGGATGTCGATATAAGATATTCGTACAAGCGTCATGTAATTTCACACCAACACGACAATCGGTACAGATGGCATATTGCGATCAACTTGACTGACTATGTGCAATATACCTATTCATATATATACCTATACATATACATACACATTTAGATAAAAATATACAAATACGTATACATAAACATATAGATGTACGTATTCTTTTATATATACA